ATAATTTTGGATTGACAGAAAAATTGCAGAAGTTTTCGGCTTCTCCTAATGCTAACATCTTACATAACCGTAATACAATTATCAAAATCACAAAATAACATTGATATACTACTACTAACTAATCTACAAACTTTATTTGATTCAGCAGAATCCCATATTGCATTTAGTTCTCATGTCTTTTTAGTCTCCTCTGATCTGGGCCAGTTCTGTTTTTCTTTGTTTTTTATGACCCTGACACATTTGAAGAGCCCTGATAAATTATTTTATACCTGGAGTTTAAAATATCACTTTTAGGGCCGATGCAGTGACTTATACCTGCAATCCCAGCACTTTAGGAGGCCAAGGTGGAGCCCAGGAGCTGAGACCAGCCTAGGCAACATAGGGAGACTCTGTCCCTAAAAAAAAACAAAAAAAAAGTTAGCTGGAGCAGGGCACCATGGGTCATGCCTGTAATCCCGGCACTTTGGGAGGCTGAGGCGGGCGGATCACCTGATATCAGGAGTTCAAGACCAGCCTGGCCAACATGGGTAAACCCTGTCTCTACTAAAAATACAAAAATTAGCCAGGCGTGGTGGCGCTGCCTGTAGTCCCAGCTACACAGGAGGCTGCGGCAGGAAAATCACTTGAACCCAGGAGGCAGAGGTTGAGTGAGCCAAGATTGCACCACTGTGCTCCAGCCTGGGCGACTGAGTGAGACTCCATCTCAAAAAAAAAAAAATTAGCTGGGCGTGATGGCACATACCTGTAGTCCCAGCTATTCAGGGGGCTGAAGAGGAAAGATCGCTTGAGACCGGGAGGTTGAGGTTACAATGAGCCATGATCATGCCACTACACTCCAGTCTGGGTGACAGAGCAAGATCTTGTCTCTAAAAATAAATAAATAAAATCATGTTTAGATTTTAAAACATTTACATATATTTGATATACTAAAATTACAGAATGTCCCTCGATTTGTATTTATCTGATATTTTGCCATGAGATTGAGGTCATGCATTTTCAGCAAGAATATGCAGAAGTGATGTCGCGTCCTTCTCACTGCGTCACATCAGGAGTTTACAATGTCAATATGTTAACTTTGATCACTTGGTTTCAGGGAGGTGTTTTTTGAGGGGGCAGAAAATCCCTTTGGGCTCCTTGAAATCATATCTGCTCTGCCCCAGAAGGCAAGTCCTGAAGCCAGGAATCCAACACCCCAGTTTCATTCTTTCTCTCAGCCTCAGTGACCTTGATTCATCAACATCCAGCCTGCGTGGCAGCTCATCACTGCAATCAAGTGGAAACAGAGTCGGTGGGAGACGTGACTTATCCAGCTCACAGGGACTGCTACCTTGGAGACATGTGCAACAGCGCCGTGGCAAGCCATGTGGCCCCTGCATGCATTTTGGCTGCAGCAGCTACCGCCCTGGGCTGGCTCTTGCCAGGACTGTGGAGAGGGTAGTGGGAGTAGGGGTAGAGAAAGGAGCAAGGGAGCAAGGGTCGTCTGAACATCTAAAATGAGGAGATAAGCACTCTTCTGTGAGCCATTAAAATCTATGGACCACTCTACAGATGACTGGAAAACTGCATCAATCTTTTGTTGATAGGTGGGCTAAAAGGGTAATATGGGCATCCACGTTCTAGTTTGGGGGTTACCAAGCAACAGTGGGCTTAATTACAGTGGCACACTCCTTAACCAACTAAACCCCAAAAGACAATGGCTTATCTGCCCTCCATGGCTCCTGGATCCTGTTGCTGAGTTGAATCTTCCTTGGCAATGAGTGGGGTTGCCAGGGTTTCGTGAGCCTGAATCTGTGTTTGCTCCTCTTTCTCTCATTTGCAACTTGGCTCCCAATAGGACTATTTTGAATTGAGAAAAAAAATGTAAAGTCCGGGTATGGTGGCTCACACCTATAATCTCAGCACTTTGGGAGGCTCCGATGGGTGGATCATGAGGTTAGGAGATCGAGACCATTCTGGCTAACACTGTGAAACCCTGTCTCCACTAAAAATAGTCCCAGCTACACGGGAGGCTGAGGCAGGAGAATCGCTTGAACCTGGTAGGCAGAGGTTGCAGTGAGCCAAGATTGCGTCACTGCGCTCCAGCCTGGGCAACAGAGCGAGACTCCATCTTTAAAAAATGAAGAAAAGATAAAAAACAGGGATCTGGGGGGAAAAAATGAAAAGAAAAGAAAAAAAAGTAATGTAAAAACTGTGATAGGAGAAAAAGAGAAAAAAAAAAGAGAAAGAAAAAAAGAGAAAGAAAAAAAGGAAAAAAGAAAAAGAAAAAAAGAGAGAAAAAAAAAAACACAAAAAACTGTGATAGGAGAGCTGCTTGGTGCCCTACTTCGTAACCAGGCCAGGTGAGGCCTCTGACTTTAATGTGAGAGAAACTGAGGAAACAGGGTCTTGGGCCCCATCCCGGTGTGCCTCTCTTATCCTTTCTGGAGAGCCCTCAAGCCAGGCTGCACCTTCTTCTTGGCAATACATCAGGGGTGTGGCCTAAATTTAGGATATGAGTTGTTTCTCCAAACACTGGGGCTTGTGTGCCACCTGGAGACACTGGAAGGGAGGACAAAGACCTGAAAAACCTGTTTCTCCATTTGCCCCAGCCTCAGCCTCCCAGGGAACATCCCTGAAGGATTCCTGTGTAAGGGTGGGAGACAGAGTGTTAGTTGCTGGGAGGTGACCTGACCCTTAGGCCTTCTGATAATAAATGCACATTTCATCAGACTCAGACATTTATTACTCAAAACGGAAAGAGGTGAGTATGGGGATGGGGTACGCATGGGAGGCTGGGTTTGGGGAGTCAGCCCTGTACAGTGAGGTCATCAGGTCCTTGCGGGAGCCTTCATTGGGGACAAGACAGAAACCCCATTTCAGGCCCAGATCCCAATCTCTCCTCAAGTAGGAGACAGTAGAGTGTAGGAAGCAAAGTGGGGAGTCCTTCTAGGAGCCAGTGGAAGCTCTGGAACGAAATGGGAAGGGACTCAGAAAAAGCTGAGTGGAGGGTGTGAGGTGGGAAGGACAGGATGGATGAGGAGACCACTTTGGAACATTGTTTAATTAAAGAAATGGGAGCTAGGGAGGGACCATTCTGTAAAGCCAGGGGATACGGAGACACAGGGAGAGAGGCTCAGGCCAAGGCAGGTGGGAGGAGGGGCAGCCGATGGAGTGAGTCTCAGTGCAGCAGCCAAAGTCCAAGGCCAGCCAAGGAGGTGAGGAAGACAAGGCCCAGGGCCGGAGTGGGCCGGGGGCCCGCGCTGTTGCAGTTGTCCTTGTTGCAGCAGGTGGTGTTATAGGTCAGGCCCAGCTTGTGGTTGGTTTGGTTGAAGGCCTCCTGACAGGGCTCTTCTGGTGTGCCACAGCGCAGGTTGGAGAAAACCCACATCTTACCTAAGGGTGGGAATGGGCAGGGAGTCAGCTAAGATGGGCACCTGGCATTCCTGTGTCCACCTCCCCACTCCTTCCACTTGCCCAGGCTTCCTTCCTTCCCATCTGTCCGGGGCCCTCCCCTTCTCTTTTCTCAGTCTGATCTTCCTCCTGTACTTCCTTATCCCGACTCCCCCAATCCTGATTCTATCACTTGCTGGCGGTTAGGCCTTGGACCTGTTACTGTCTCTTTTTTTTGTTTGTTTTTTGAGATGGAGTTTCGCTCTTGTTGCCCAGGCTGGAGTGCAGTGGTGCAATCTCAGCTCACCGAAACCTCTGCCTCCAGAGTTCAAACGATTCTCCTGCCTCAGCCACCCAAGTAGCTGGGACTATATGCGCCTGCCACAATGCCCAGCTAATTTTTGTGTTTTTAGTAGAAATGGGGTTTCACCATGTTGACCAGGCTGGTCTGAAACTCCTGACCTCAAGTGATCTGCCCGCCTTGGCCTCCCAAAGTCCTGGGATTACAGGTGTGAGCCATCATACTCAGCTGTGTTACTCTCTCTTTGTGAGGCTGTTTCCTCAATAGAATAATAGCACCCGCATCTTAAGGTTGTCATGAACATTAATTTTAAAAAAGGCATACAAAGACGTAGGATGTTGCCTGGTACACAGTCATCTTTGGACAAATATTATCATTGCTATAATTTTCTGCTTCTCCACCTCAGTCTTGCCCCATTTGGGTCTCAGTCCTGGCCATAGAGTCTCCCACCTCCCTGCTCCCCCCGCGAAGGAAAGGGATGTTACCAAGGTATGCATGTGTTGTCAGGCATTGCTGTCCTGGCTCCAGGCGGCAGGACTGCCGGTCCACACAGCCCAGCACAGGGACCTTGTAGCAGGAGTGACAGCGAATGTCAGCTGGGGAGACACAAGTCAGGCTGAGGTGGTGGGGTCTCTGACTTACCTGGGGATAGGCTGAGCTGGGGTGGGGGTGGAGGGTGGAGAAGAGCCTATCAGGTAGGTGCTCTAACCTGTTTGGCTGTTTGGTCTAGCAGGGACAGAACAGGTGAGTGACGCAGGGAAAATGGAAAGTGGGTGGCAGGTAAAGTTAGAGTTGTTGCTTTGTGAAAGGCCCACGCCCTACATATCTCTCTTCACTCCACCCCATCTGGAGATGAGTCAAGAGGGACAGAGCTATGAACAAAACAAGAGGCTGGGGATAGATGGAATGTGAGCAAGGTACCATGGGGAAATAATGTGGGTGGTGGAGGAGGAGACGGAGACCTGAAAGAAGGATAAATAATGAAAATGACAATCGGCCGGGCGCGGTGGCTCACACCTGTAATCCCAGCGCTTTGGGAGGCTGAGGCGGGTGGATCATGAGGTCAGGAGTTTGAGACCATCCTGGCCAACATGGTGAAACCCCGGTCTCTACTGGAAATACAACAATTAGCTGGGCATGGTGGCATGTGCCTGTAATCCCAGCTACTTGGGAGGCTGAGGCAGGAAATTGCTTGAACCAGGGAGTCGGAGGTTGCAGTGAGTGGAGATGGCACTACTGCACTCCAGCCTGGTGACACAGCGAGACTGTGTCTAAAAAAAAAAAAAAAACAAAACAAAACATGAGGGTTACAACACTGTCAGAAATGCCTTGGAACTTGAGGCTGGCAAAGAAAGCCATCTGTGGCCAGCTGTAGCAATTTACAATTTACTCTTCACCTCCTGGAGCTGGCAAGAGCATGGGAAGAGGAACCAGACCTGAATAGAATCCTCTCATCTCTTCAGCAGAAAGAATAATACCTGAGAGACAGATCACCAGGTTCCATCTGAGCACCTTATCAAAATGGAGAGGGTGGATACCGAAGGCGGCACCCCAAAGTTCCTGCTTCAGCTAATTCAAGGTTTGGGCTGGCAAGATTTGGTGACACGGGGTTCAAGGGTGGAGGAGCCTTGTAAGTGTACCTCAGTAAAACCCACCTTACCCTGGAGGTGAGTGGCCCAGGTGTCCTCTCTTTAGAAGGTTCAAGAAAACGCTCTATTTCCATGGAGGCTCTTAGATGTCACTGGAACCATCTAGAAAGCTTCTATCCTGGGTAGGGGAGGTGGTATGCAACCCAGGGGGAAGTAGAGGGTATCTAGGAAAGGCCATAGTTGAGAGACTGATGGAGTAGATGGGAGGGTAGGCTACAAAAGGAGCCTGGAGCTGGATGCCTAGGACTTTGAGGACACCTGAGCACAGCAGATAGAGGAGAAGGCAGGTGAGCTAGATTCTGGAGAGTTGCATATTGAAGTGGGGCTGGTTGGGGAACTGGACACCAGAGTTTCCAAGGAGGGGACACCTTGGAGTGGGGAACAGGGGACCCAGAGCCCTGGCAGGTGAGAAAAGTGGGTCTTTCTTGGAGGTGGGGAAGATGGAGGGTGAGCTGGCTTTTTGAGAAATAGAGCAAGGAGGCTGTCATAGGGAAGCCTGGTCTTGGTGGCACAGGAGAGCTGAGCCAGTTGGGGCTGGGGGTGCTGGGATCCTGGGTGGTGGGTAGGGCAGAGCAGTGGGTAGAGCAGGGTGTAAAGGTCCTTACCAGGCAAACCAGGTCCTTGGGGCCCCCAGGTACTCACCTGAGACCCAGCAGAGCAGAGCAGACAGGGTGAGCAGCAGAAGGCCTTTCATGGCGAGGGTCCTGAGAATGGTGGCAGCCACAGGAGCTGCTAGAGTAGATTTTGGAAGATCTGGCTCTGGGAGTTGGGTGACCTTTTTGGAACTTATAAACCCAAAGGCTCCTCCCTTCCCTGTGTCTGGTAGCCCCTCCCTTCTCACTTACTACACAGCTGACCAGAGAGAAGACAAGGGGTGGGGAGGCGCTGAGCAGGACTGAGTGGGGAGTAGGGATGGGAGAGAGGGATGGGGGAGGGCAGGTGCCACTAGTGGCCAACACCATTGTGGTTCTTGGTTTCAGGCCAAGATGCCCCTCCTGGCCCCCAGCTAAGAGTCCTGCTGCTCAGTCCTGTGAGGGAGCATCATCAAAGGCCTCTGTGATTTGTAGTGTCCATGGTGGTAGCTTCTGCTGGTTCCTGGGAAACAGACAATGGGATGTGACCCAAATTAACTGCTGAATTTGGGTCCCTGCTGGGCATTGATAGCGGCATGCTGGCAGAAACTGGGGGTGGAATGGGTCAAATTATCTCCATTCAGCCCCCACTTGGCCTTTCCAATGCCCGCTTAGCCACAGGATAGATTTGTGACTCACTGATGTCTTCTGTGATGCCATAGTAGCAGAGGCAGGGGCTGGGGCTGCTCGTCCAGGAGAGCCACTGCAGGTCTGCTAAGTGGGGGCTGGCTCAGGCCCCCATGAAAGTTCTCAGGACCTCACCCCAGCTCTACTTGTGCTTGGTGTGGCCTTGTTGCTCCAGTCCAGTGGCAGCAATTGTCCTAGGTGTGGCTGTGTGCACCTGCACCAATGCGCCTCCCTAGTCAAAACCTGCCAACTTGGGCAGGGCACCGAGGCTGGAGGAACAGCGTGGGCACAGGGAGGCGAGGTAGAAGCTAAAATAAGAATAGAAACAGTTTGCTGGGTGTGGTGGTTCCTGCGTGTAATCTCGGCACTTTGGGAGGCTGAGGCGGGCGGATGGCCTGAGGTCAGGAGTTGGAGACCAGCCTGGCCAACATGGAGAAACCCCGTCTCTACTAAAAATACAAAAATTAGCTGGGTGTGGTGGCAGGTGCCTGTAATCCCAGCTACTTGGGAGGCTGAGGCAGGAGAATTGCTTGAACCCAGGAGGCAGAGATTGAGGTGAGCTGAGATCATGCCATTGCACTCCAGCCTGGGTGACAGAGCGAGACTCTGTCTCAAAAAAAAAAAAAAAAAAAAAAAAAAAAAAAAAAAAAAAAAAAAAAAAAAAAAAAAAAAAAAAAAAAAAAAAGGAAAAGAAAAGAAAAAGAAATAATGGAAATAGTAATAATAACAGCAAGCACTTACATAGTGATCCTATGTGTTCCAGGCAGTTTACATGTATAACTTTATTTAGTTCTCAAAATGCCCTACAAAACAGGGTTTTTTGTTGTTTTTGAGACAGGGTCTGGCTGGCTCTGTCACCCAGGCTGGAGCGCAGTGGCCTGATCACAGTTCACTGCAACCTCGACCTCCTGAGCTGAAGGGATCTTCCCACCTCAGCCTCACCAGTAGCTGGGATTACAGGAGCACCTGTAAAGTTAAGCAGGCAAAAAAGCATTTGTGTAAATAGCCCAAGCACACATTTTAAGTGAGCACTGTTTGAGGACTCTGAGTTTGCCTGTGAGGATTCCCAAAGGGATCTGGGCAGCTGGTGGCACCTCCCCCTCTCTTATCGGAGCCCCCCAGCTCCTCCTTTCTCCCCACCCCCAGCTTCCCTCCGGTTCCTTCCCCCCACCCCACGCTGATTAGCCCGCAGCCTCTCCTCACCACATCCCTACTATGGCTGTGTTTCTGCAGCTGTTACTGCTGCTGCACTCGAGGGCCCAAGGGAACCCTGAGGGTAAGTGAACCCTGGGAGAGTTGTGATAGACTCAGAGGGGCTGAGGCAAGAAAGGGGACGCCTAGCAGGGTGGGTTATGTGTGGGAAGATCCAAGATGGCTGGAGTGCAGAAGAGAGAAGAGAAAGAGGAGAAGGGATGGGGTGTCGTCTTGTCCTATGGACCTGCCCTAACCAGTGCCTCCGGCCTCCCCTAGCTTCTCTGGAGGGCCGCCCTGGGGACCGGGTGAATCTCTCATGCGTAGGAGTCTCTCACCCCATCCGCTGGGTCTGGGCGCCCAGCTTCCCGGCCTGCAAGGGCCTGGCCAAAGGACGCCGGCCAATCCTGTGGGCCTCTTCCGGCGGGACCCCCACCGTACCTCCCCTCCAGCCCTTCGTTGGCCGCCTACGCTCCCTGGAGTCTGGTATCCGGCAGCTGGAGCTCCTCTTGAGCGTGGGGGACTCGGGCACCTTTTTCTGCAAGGGCCGCCACGAGGATGAGAGCCGTACAGTGCTTCACGTGTTGGGGGACCGGGCCTATTGCAAGGCCCTGGGGCCTACCCACGGTAGGTCCAAGGCCTGTGAGTTCAAGGGTATTTAACTCCCACACAGACCCGTAGGAGGGAAGAGGGCCTTGGCTGGGGGTTCTTGAGTGGGAGAGCTGGCTCTCTGTCGTCATACTCCTGACCTCAGCATCCCTCCCCGCCACACCGTTCCCCCAGGGTCCATGTATCCCCAGCTCCTGATCCCGCTGCTGGGCGCTGGGCTGGTGCTGGGACTGGGAGTTTTGGGCCTCGTCTGGTGGCTGCACAGGTGAGCAAGAGCCTGGTTAAATGGTGAGTGACCAGAGGTGGAAGGGGCAGGACCAGAACCTTCGCGAAAGAAAGAGCTAGACCTAGAGCCCTTGACCTGGGTTGGAGAGAATGGGAGAGGTGGAAGGTGGGAGGGAGGCCACTGGCTAGTGAGTGCAGCCCCGCCAGAGGAGATGAGCCGGAAGTGCGAGCCTGGGCTGGACTATCTGTGGGGGCAGAGTCTAAGTTGTTTCCGGTCTGAGCCTTCAAGTTGCTGGACTGTCCTTGGCACCTGAGTTCCAGGAGAACCAGTAAGACAAGACTGGTGACTCTCGAAGACTCTTATATGTCCCTTACAGGCGCCTGCCCCCGCAGCCGATTAGACCACTCCCTAGATTTGGTGAGACTAACTCCACCCCATTTTCTTTCTCCTACATGCCCGCCCACTCCCCACCCCTCAGTTCCTGAGTCTGAGCCCTTGCTGGGAGCAGACTCGTTGGTCACCTTCTCTCCATCCTTCAGCTCTGTCCCCCCCACATAGCTCCACTTGTGAAAGCCGAGCCCCGGAGAGCAGTAAAGGAGGAAGAGCCCAAGATTCCAGAGGACCTAGACCAGGAACCGGTAAGGGCTTGGGGATGGAAAGGGGGCTGGCCAGAATGTCTGAGGAAAATGGAAAAAAAAAAAAAAAAAAAGGCCTGAATCCCAAGGAAGACTGTGGAGACCATCTTGTCTTCCTCTCCTTCTCCCTCCAGAGCCTTCACTATGCGGATCTGAACCATCTGGCCCTCAGCAGGCCCCGACGGCTGTCCACAGTGGACCCCGCTGATGCTTCCACCGTCTATGCAGTTGTAGTTTGAAGGGAAGCCCTTACTCCAAACCTCCCAAGTTGGGAGCTCCCAGCTCCCCATAATCCCTCTCCCCTCCCTGATCCCTCACCTGGAAGAGGAAGGCACCATGGTATAGAAATAAGTGCTAGACTGGAAGTCGGGAGACCTGGGTTCTAGGCTGTCTCTGCCACTGATGTTACTCCTAAACTTACTCCCATGTCTCCCATAACCTTCATGTCTCCCTCACCACCGGTGTCCCCTCTATACCCAGTCAAGCCCTATCTCCTATCTTAAGACATCAGTAACTCCCAGACAGTTGCCTTATCTCTTCCCTTCCTTCACTGTCAAGATTTGGAACCAGGGGCACACACCTGCCTCTTCCATTTTCTTCTCCTTCACTCTATCCCCACTGCTCATCTGTCGAAATTGCCTATCTGCTCTCCACAAGGTTGCCAATGGCGTCCTAATAGCCACACCCAGTAGACATTTTTAGCATTCATCTGGTTTGACCTCTGATTACTCCATTCTTTAAACTGTTTTTCTTTGCTGCTGGTGTTTTCTTTTTGGACTCCTTCCTTGCTCCATATCCCCACAGTACTTACTCCCCACCATTCTAGGTTTGTTCCTTTCTCCTCCTTTCTCCTCTTCTAGCACACTGTCATCCAGTCAGTCCTCAGCCCCTACCTCTGCAAATGACACCCGGAACTCTCTCTGGCTCAGATCTCAGATTTGGGATTAATGAACTTCCCCTTAGACATTCTGCCTGACTGGCCTCAGGCATTTTTGCTCTCTGGATGTCAAACCTAACTCATTGTGATCTCGGAAGCCACTCACTTAATTCTCCTCTGCATTCTCTCCTTAACAACCCAGCTGCAGGCAGGGCACGGTGGCTCATGCCTGTAATCCCAGCACTTTGGAAGTCCGGGGTGGGCAGATCATGAGGTCAGGAGATTGATGCCATCCTGGCCAACATGGTGAAACCCCATCTCTACTAAAAATACAAAAATTAGCTGGGCGTGGTGGCGCTTGCCTGTAATCCCAGCTACCTGGGAGGCTGAGGCAGGAAAATTGCTTGAACCAGGGAGTTGGAGGTTGCAGTGAGCCGAGATCCCAGTTGCCCATCCCAGAAACTGGGAGTCATGCAGGCCTCCTTCTTCTCTCATTCCCACACAATGAGCCATCAAATCCAGTCTTTCTATCTTAACATCACTGTCAAACCCACACTCTAATCCATGCCCAGTGCTGCCATGTGAATGTACTCTCCTCACTTCCTTCCTAGAATACCCATAGCCCCACCTCACCCTCCTACCCTTGCTTTCCTTCCTGAAGTCAGGAAGATCCTCCTCAAGAGATAACTGCTCCTGACAGCCATATTACATAACTGAAGTACTCTCCTTAGCTTCAGCTCTGTGCCCATGTGCCCTGGCTTTGGATACAAGGTACTACAGCACTTTGTCCATTCTCCAGGCTTATTTCTATCATTCCACATGCACATCTTAGAAAATGCCAGCCTCAGAGAATTCTCTCTAGCCCCAAAATGTCTTTGCCCAGTGCAATTCCTTCTTCCTGTATTACCCCTTTCCCTCCTCCACACTACCTGACAGGCTAATTCTTATTTATCCTCAGTTCAAGTGTGGCCTTTTCTGGGAAGCTGACCCTTCTTGCCCACTTTTGCATACACTTTGATGCCTGAGGACACAACCCCCTTATTTCCCACATAGAAAGAGCCTCTTGTAAATTGTTCCATTACAACCTGTACTTCAATTTCTAAGAAATTTGCACGTACTGTGAGCCCCCTCAACATCAGGAGACTGACCCTTTGGATGTCATTGCTAAGCCTCAGTAAATGAATGAATGAAAATGAATGCCCCTGGAAGTGTCATTTCTTTTTCTTTATCAAATAGGGGTGGACTGGTAATCTACCAGTCTCTGAATCATCTGGCATTTAGATAAATTCAGTGAGTGATCCACCCATATACTCTCTTCTCTGCCCTGGACACATTTCCCATGAAAGACATTCTGTCTTGTCCATCGTGTGCCCAAGCACCTATGACATGGTTGGGCAATGAGTTGGTAAGTGCCTAACAAGTTTTTTGAATGAGAGGCCTTCTTCCCTGCACTGACCCCAACCTCAGGTTTCATCCCTGCCCTATCCCTTTGCCCCAGTAAAACACCAGTCACAGCCCAGTCTAAAAGATCAATTCTATTTTATTGGTTCTGGGAGGGAGGACTCACCCAGTGGACCCTATCCTTTTCCCCACACTCTGCCCTCCCCCCATATTGAGGCTCTCTCTCCACTACTGCCTACTCAGCATTCTCTATCTAACCCTCCTTCCCCTTCTACTCCCTATACTGTCCTACCCTTGGCCAGCAGGACCCCAAGGCCAGGCGCTCAGCTGTGGGGGCGTGTGCTGAGCACCAAGCAGAGGGAGCTGAGCCCAGCGCCAGCCTTCTCCAGTTCTGAGCAGGACACAGGTACCAGGGTGACATCAGAGAGCTTCTGCAGTGCCTGCACAGGGAGGAGATATTATATTATATGTACTTACAAAGTACTTCATGGCTGAGCCTTCAATGATATAAAAATTAATTAGTTACTCAGGGAATAGTTTAAGATTAGAATTTCAGCTTTGGGTGTTGATGGTAGAATTAGATATTCTTTCCCTGATTGTCCTGGGGAATAGGTACTCTCCATTTCTGGTTTACAAGACTGGGGTATTAAATTATACTACAAGGAAGTTTATCATTTAAGTAGTTTGTTTTTGATTAAAGCAGAGAGGGGAATTAGGGTAATAATAATAAGGAAATATATAATGGATGCGGTTTGGCCAACAGTTTCAAAGGGGTATATTTACAAAGGAGTGAGTAGAGGGGAGTAAGACTAATTATTAGTCTTATAAAGGAGTGGGTAGAGGGGAGTAAGACCTCGAGGCCAGAGCCAGGCCACTCTTCCAGCCAGCTCAGAGTGGCCCCACGCAGGCTTCTAGAGAAGGCACCCTTCCTCCCTCCCCCAGGAAAGCCTGAAACTCTTTTCTCTGATGGTGCTTGGTGTTGGAGTTTCTGCCCTCCCTCACCTCCTGGCTGTTGGGCAGGTCCCCACCTCCACGGTGCAGGAGGAAAGGGGGCACACCAGGTAACCCAGGACGAAGAAAGAGACAGTCAGCAGCTGCGTCATCTGGGAGGGTCAGGGAGGCATATGGGTGATCTGTCAGCACTGCCATTGCCTGGAGGAAAGAGGAAGTATTGGAGTCTCAGAACCTCTCCACAAGTGAGTCTGCCTGCTGAACCACCACTAAGACCTGTGGACAGACTGACATTTGTGGAATAATAATGACAGCAAGCACGTAGGGCTTACTATGTCAGACATTAAGTATTTTAGCTACCTTTGCTAATTTCCATCTTGGAATCACCTGCAGTTATTTTCAACCCCCTACCCTTCCCCAGTCCCTCCCCTCATCTGTCCTCTCCATTCTTAGAGTCACAGTTTAGGTGCCACCTTTGGGGTTTCCTAAAACTCTGAAAGAGCAAATTAATCATCCCTTTTCCCAGTCCCGCTTTTTTTTTTTTTGACAGAGTTTCACGCTTGTTACCCAGGCTGGAGTGCAATGGCGCGATCTCGGCTCACTGCAACCTCCGCCTCCTAGGTTCAGGCAATTCTCCTGCCTCAGCCTCCTGAGTAGCTGGGATTACAGGCACGCACCACCATGCCCAGCTAATTTTTTGTATTTTTAGTAGAGACGGGGTTTCACCATGTTGACCAGGATGGTCTCTGTTTTAACTTCTTATTTACTCGTGTGTTTTTTCATATAAGATGGACAGCCCAATGAGGGCAGGGGTTGGGGCTAATTTCCTAAGCCTCCCAGCTCCCTACCTCCCAGGCCCAGAGTCGTGCCCACTTTCGTTGGTCCCTCCCCCTCCTCACCCTGACAGCCTTTTGGGCAGCGTCACTGCTGCCTGCCACAACAGTGCGAGGTCCCCCCATGCCGCAGAGACCGCGCAGGTGGGAAGGACCCGAGACTGGCACAGTGGAGACGGCGAAGTCCTAGGGAGAATGAGGGGAGGTATTCAGGGGTGCGGGAGGGGTGATGAGATACCCTCAAATATAGGCTGCTCTCTGCCTCTCATTCCTCATCGGGCTCCTAGGCCCTTCCGACCCCCACCTGCACCCCGCTCCCTCCCTAGGCTGGTCCCTTCAGTACCCTGAACGTGTCCGCCACGATCTCAGCTCCTCGGTGATTGGTCCATTTGGAGAGGCCTACGAAAAACTCCCGACCTGAGTCCGGGAGGCCGCGGAGGTTTGAGGGCAGGAGTGAGTTGGAAACAAGGCTCGAGACAGCCGAGTCTCCCAAACTCTACTTCCCTGTGCCAAGACCCCGGGGTGCCACCACCCCTGCCTCACCGGTGAAGAGAACGTCAGTGCCATCCAGTGTGGCGTTCTCGTCTCCTATTTCCACAATTCGGAGCCCCAGGTCCTGGAGGGCTTTGCGGACTCCATCGACCTTAGGGTAGGAGAAGGCAGGGGGCTGAGACACCCCCATCCCCAATTCTTCCCCAAAGCCCCGACATCCAGCTCCTCCTGCCCTTCCCCATACCACACCTGCGCCGCGGCGCTCACCTCACCTCTGGCCTACGAGCGGGGCTCCAGGGCCGCGTGATGAGGGCCGTGTCCCCTTGGATCACGGCCGTGTCACCAAGCAGCGGTCCCAGCGGCAACGACTCCTCGGGAGGCAGTTCTAGCAGCTGTAGCCCCAGTCGCTGCCTCAGTTTACCTCCCAGCACCCCGTGCTCCCTTTGAGCTTTGGCCAGATCCAGAGCGGGAAGGCCAGCCCCCGCACCTTCCCCAGACGCCAGGCTCTCTGGGACTCCCCGGATCAGGGCATGGGAGCAGCGGCCCAGCCCCTCCCCCGGCGTCCCCATCCCATCCACACAGACGCCCCTCCAACCGTTCGGATTTCTTAGTTTTCTTGTTTCTTCACCTGTACGGGAGAAGAAACAGAAAGGCGGGAGACAGAGAAAAAGACATGCAGACAAGGGCGTTGAGGGCTGTTAAGAGCGCCCAGGTCTTCCTCCTGCCATCTCTGGGCGCCCCTCCTACCCCGCCCCACCCCCTCTAGGCCTTCCTCCCCTGTCGACTCCACTCTACCCAGCACCCTCAGGAGTTAGATTCTTTAAGAGGAGTCTGAGGAACAAGGGTAGGCTCGCTAATCTCCAAAACACCTGTTGCCCCTGCTCGGGGGCTTCTTGAGGTCCCTGCCAGGCGTCTCTCTTGGCAGCCACTAGGATGCGCTCACTCCCCAAAAATGCAGCGGCCCCGCCCCCTTAACCCTCAGCTGCTCGCTACTGTAGGGACCTGAAGTCCGGCCCGGGACCCGCAGGGGCTATGGGACAGAAGAAGAAAGCTGGAGAATCAGGGGCTGGGGGATGGAAGTCCTGAATGCCCGAACGAGGGAGAGAGGGGGGCAGGGAGCGAGGAATTACAGCCTAAGGAGTTAAGCATCCTCTCTCCGCTCTGGCCGGTCAAGCTGCCCCTCGCGCGACCTAGTATAAACCAGACCAAGTCTCGGAGGACTGGGAGAGGTCTAAAACGAAATGCGAGGGGCGGGGAAACAGGGGGCGTGGTTCCGGGGAGCTGGCGCCACTCCCGGCTCCAGGACCCGGTCTCCCGTCTATGTCCCAAAGTCCACCCCGCCTAGCTCCGCGCCCAAATGCCGGCTCCCCATCCTCTCTGTCCGGTGCAGGCATGGACCCGGCACCCCCAAACTCCAGCTCCCAAACGGTTCAGGTCTCCCCACCCAAGACTCACCTCCAGCGGCCACCCCCACTCCTGTTGTGCTGAGATCTCGGCTGGGGCCCCACCTCCCCGAGAACAGAGTTGGTGGAGAAGGGAGTCCCCGTCTTCAAGCTCGGGGACTGGGAGCTCACGCTTTTGGGGGGGTTCTATGGTAGGCGAGCTCACATACTACGATGGGGCGGGGGCGCGACGGTCTGGCGGCTCCGGGGCATTGTCTAAGCGGGACGGGGCGGGGCTTCTGCGGGCCACGCCCATTCCGCCCTGCTAAGCCTCGCCCATTCCACCCAGACTGCGCCCCCCTTGCCAGAAATCGGCACCGCCCAGCAAGGGCTGCCCAGGGCCACCCAGATCTGGCCGGCCCCGGCGGCGGGGCTGCAAACGCCGCGTAGACCTCAGAACAGCGCTACGGCGGACCGGCAGGAAAAAATTGCAGACCCACCACAAACATCTCCCTTCTTAATTCCTGGCTTCTGCCCTGAGCTCAAGATCACTGACCCACCCCTCATTCCATGTCACCCACACTTCAACCCCCCTTTGTGTAAAAACACTTGATTTTTATTCCGTACTTTATTACTGAAATATGTTGTCCTACCCATCCCACCCCACAATAAAAATCTCACCCAGGCCCCCCATTTCTTTCCCTCATCCCCTCTTCCACCACACCATCCCAGAACAAGTGCTCCAGGATTCCCTTCCCACTGGCCATTTTGGAGTGTGTCCATTGGGCAGCAATGTGGAAACCACCAGGGCCTTTGTGGAGAAAATGGAGGGGGTTGACGGAGTCCCACGAGGGGCTTATTTGAGGGCCTTGGCCACTTGCTCATAGGCGAGCTCAATTTCCTCATCATCTGGACAGGTGGAGGCGAATTCTTCCCGCTCGTAGGCATTGCTCAAGTACCGATGCACTCCCCGGAAGGCCTCAGGGATGGTGAATCCCCGGTATTTCTTACATACCACCTGAGGATGGGGAGAGGAGTGGGACCAACATATTAGCCCAGGGAAGCCACCTTGGCTGCGACACTGGCCTGTTCCTTCTCCCCAGCCTACATGATAAAACCAGCTCAAGCCCCCACTGTCTTGTACTGTCTTCAGCCCTCCTTTTCACATACTGAAATCCTGGCCTTTAATAACAACCATTTTTCTTGAGTTTTAAAAGTTGAGATATAATTCACATATCATAAAATTCTCCTCTTGAATTTCCACAGTGACTTTCCCCCCCATACCTCTTCAGGCACTGAAGCAACTGACTTTTGTCTCTATTATTTTTCATCTGACTTTTTTTTTTTT